CCCCCCCCCCCCCCCCCTCTGGTTCTCACCCGTGTATCTAAACCCTTGCAACAAGGTAACGCATTAAATGGCTTCGGATAAAACTATTGAGCTTCATGTGGTGGGTAACGCCTTTGGATATCATAGTGACAAAAGCAAACAATCTTGATGGCTATGGAGTATAGTTGGTTAAACTTGAGGGAAGGCAGCCGGAGACGGGTGAGTTCAGCAAGTGTGACAAGCACGAACAAATTATTAGACAATTCACAGGAATGTAGCAGAAGGATTGGAGTTTAAGGTTACTTCTGATATATCGCTTTATGGCTTCTGCTTTGTTACCATCACCTTTTGTGAAGTTATCCAAATCTTCCTCCACTTTTGCAGATGTAAAACCCAGAATTTCAACTGTTCTTTCAAACGCAATGGGCGGTTCGAAGAATGACACGGCAGTTGGTCTTATAGTCGTTAGGACTGTAGCACCGGGAAGGATTTTTCCTGATAATATCTTCTTGTACAGGGTATGAAGAGGCATCGAGTCTTCTACATTGTCAAATCCATCAAATATGACGAGTACTTTGTCTGGGTTGTCAATGATGTAGTGCCAAACTTCATCGGATAGAGGTAGTTTAGAATACTCCGATGCGTCCAGGAGTTTGCGAAGACTGAGTTTTTCGTTTGTGTAGTTAAACTTCCTAAACTTAATGAGGAAAGCGAGTTTCAAATCAATTTCAGATTTTTGTGCATCACTGAACAAGTTATCGGATGCCCAATTGCGCAGAATCTTTTTGCAAAACATAGTTTTTCCAATTCCAGGACGACCGACAACAAGAATATTCCGTTTGTCAGCATCAAAAATATCTCCCGGCCGTGTTGATCGTGACTCTTCTCTGGGTCTGTGGTATTCTTTCAGTTGTTTCTCTCTATCTTCACTAAATTCAGACAAAGCTCTGTTTTCATGAATAATCAAATCGGTGTAGATGTGGTCAAGCTTTAGATCACTTTTTGAGCCTTCACCCGGATTGCGATGGAAAGGTGTAGCAGGATCTACACAAGGCTGTTCGGTGACACTACGGACATGTTTCTTCATACGTTTGATGAAAGTGGCTACTGATGAGGTGTTAAACTCTTGTTGTTGCTGTTCTGACGGGGACTCGTTGTCAGTTGGAGCGGTAGACGGTGGATTAGTATGACTGTCATAATCGATGATGGCGTTTAACGCTCCGGATTCTGCCGGAGGGACATTTAACCGCTGATTCGAACTCAGATAATATTTATGAAAGTTCGGGTCTTCCTTGTTAAACTGTTGTTGTTGCTGTTCTGACGGGGACTCGTTGTCAATTGGAGAGGTAGATGGTGGATTGGTGTGACTGTCATAATCGATGATGGCGCTAAACTCTTCGGATTCTGCCGGAGAGGCATTTAACTGCTGATTCGAACTCAGATAATATTTATGAAATGTCGCGTCTTCCATAAAGTTTTTTACATTTCTTGCACGTAATAACATAAAGAGAGACTCAATAAACACAAGAAACGCAAAAGTTCCAGTTACAACAATCACGGCATAAGCCCAGAAGGTCTTCTTAGCTGCTCGTTTATTATGACATTCGTAGGACGTTTGCGTTTGCGTTACGTTGCGGGACGCACTGGCCAAAATGTCTGCAAAATTCCCGTCTCTCGTTAATTTGCAGTCAAAGTTCGAGGAAAAGCTCAGAGGATAAAGCAATTTAATCTGCAGAAGGATAAAAAAAATTCCAAGAACAAATCTGGCAAGAAGTTGCAAACAGTACGCTTTGAAAAGCCTTTAACCGGTTCGTCGAGTCCGCCCTTCAAGTTTATCAACTCTCTTCTTCATCGCTTGTGAGTAAATTCCGCAAACACTTGCAGTAACAAGGAAGTTGATAATCACGAACCCATACACAGGAATACCGAATTTATTGAACTGTTTTTCATACTGTTCGTAACACTTTCCACCAATGAGTTCCTTGTCGCCATTTGAGCTACAGTGAAAGTCAAATCTCGGTTCGCTGTTTTCAATGTCTAGAAAGATTGCTGATAGGATAATTCCGAGAAAAATCCAACATACATTTGTCACATAACTGAACCAGTGGAGTGTTTTAGGAGCAAGCAAATTTTTAAGACATTCCATGTTGTATGCTTCTCGATTTCTCGCTTATGAGCTACAAATGCTTGCATTTAGCTTTTGAATTCTATTAGAAATAATGGAAGGAGAAAAATGATTTTTCGATTTAGTCAACCCACTAGGGGCGGAGCGCAAGTGAACCTACATCATCATATTCCATTCGGTGATTGACTGGCCGCTGACGTCATGCAACAGTGTTACTGGTAGTCTTTACACTACAGCCTAAATAAGCTAAGAAATATTTCAAGACAAGTAAATTTTAAATTCTTCAAGTAAATGGAAGCTTCACACAACACCTGTCTTCTATACTTCAGGTTTACTTAAGCCTATTTTCCCACGAAACATAATTAGCATTGATTGACATGCTTCGCCTTTCTCAAAGCTCAAGAAACCCCAAGTTCGCTAAACTCGGTTCCAAGTCACTTGAAACTTTCTGGAATCGTTTCAACTCCTCCGACTTCAATGAGATGCAAAGCAGATGTCTAGAGTTACTTGAGATTTTACAGGGGACGATACACAACGACGAGTTTTAGCGCAACACAGGGTTGCAATGTTGGAGCAATGGTAGTCTTTACACTAGATCCTAAATAAGCTTAGAAATATTTCAAGACAAGTAAATTTTAAATTCTTCCAGTAAAAGAAAGCTTCACACACAACCTATCTTTTTTACTTCAGGTTTACTTAAGCCTATTTTCCCACGCAACATAATTAAGACTGATTGACATGTTTCGCCCTTCTCAAAGCTTAGAAACCGCAATTCGCTAAGTCGGTCAGTTAAGAATAGTTTTCAAACTTGAAACTTTCTTGAATCGTTTCAACTTTCCGACTTTAATGAGATGCAAAGTAAAGGTACTTGAGATTTCACTTAGGCCTTCACACGTATTTTTTGGTTTAGTAAAACTTAGCAGATCTTAAGTCTTACTCAACAGCCTTGTGTAAAGACAACAATTAATGTTGTAACAATTCTAAACAACATCGCAACAATGTTGCAACGCTGTGTTGCGCTAAAAATCGTCCTTGCGAATCGTCTGGTGTAACATGACCTTTAGGCCTTCACACACGCTAGCAGCTTCAACATATACCTGAGAAATAGCAAAGAATAAATATGAATTATAGGGATATATAAAATCGAACCAAACGTCCGGAAGTACTCCCGCGTCGCGAACAATGAATTTGAATTATGTTTATTACATTGCGTGCATCCAACTCGCTTCCGATTGGTTTAAAAAACAATCAGCTGCTGTCAAAACTCACACATGCGCAGTATCGTGACAGTGCCTTTAAGTCTTACTTAACTTGGTTGTAAAGACAACCACCGACAAAAATATTTGGCTGCCAAAATAAGCACATTACGATCACTAAGGTTGTTTGATAGCAGGTTAAAAGTTCAAACAATTTCTTCCGTCTTAGATGCCACTATCTCACAATACAGGATTTCACATCTTGTAAGCACGTTTGCATGTACTTTTCCGATGTACAAGTTAAAAACCGGCAGTGGCGTGCATAAATTGTTGCGGGCGAGCAAAAAGGAGCTCAGTTTCGCTCAGTTATTAGCGGCACATGTCATGTTTACAAAAAAAGGTGAAAAGTTTCATTTCTAGCAAGTTTCAATATTAAGTTTGAAAGGAATGTGGTCAACAAGGACCTCAAGATGAGATTAAACTTTGTACTTGCCAGGTACGCACGTGAGCGGACTCCAAGGAGGAGCACGTGTAAAGTTAATTTGGGAATCGGAAAGTTGAGATCAGTATTGACCCAAGTCCAGAAGTCGAAAGACGCGCAATTTTTTCTAAATCCCAAATCCACTCGTACTTTTGTGAAAATCTGAATCAGTAAGGCATTTTAATACTAATTTCTTTTCTTGCAATACTGTTTAACACATTGGCACCATATTAAACTGTCATAAATTGAGCAGGTATGCCAGGAATGCCCCCAGTAGCAATAATAGTTTAGTTTCCCCAACAAGGTCACAAGTCACCGAGTTTAACGCAACAGGTTTACAGTAATTCACTCCCGCATGGCATCACACTCTCATGGTTTAAAGACCCAAGTCAGTCGATTGCGCTCAATTTGCGCTCACATGTACGAGAAACTTGTCAATCAAAATCTCAACTACTTATACACTCGGGCCCAGTCTCCGACAGGTATGAGGCTATATCTGTATGAGATAACGTAGGCTATTTCAGGCATTCAGATAGTGGAACGCGAAAGAAAAAGAGAGCCAGAGAAAGAAAAATCAGAGGTTAGGTTATTAGGGTTTTTTTGCTCCTGCTTTTTTCAAACAGGGTCAGAAAATTGCATTTCAATATGGCGGTCTTTTTTTTTGTTTTGGTTTCAGGAGTCTTTATAAATGAATTTAATAACTATTTTGTACAGAATGTTTATTATATTACGTTGCGGCTCTAAAAGTCTTTACAAAATGTTAAATGACAACTGACTTGTATCATTTACATTTTTTTCTCGTATTTATCTACCTATACCTTTTAGAAACGTTAATTTTCTGGACAAAATGTTACTATGGCAACCCCTTACTTGAAGGCTTTGTCTCTCTCTCCAAGAGGTTTACCAATCCCTCTCTACCCCACAGAGGATCAGCGGAATCTCACCCACACCTCCCTCTCCCTAGGGACAAAGTTGTCCTTACAGAGGCACCTTCCGTAAGGATGGTCTTTAGCCCCTGCCTAGGACGCCTCTAACGTGTTATATTGCCCCCTTTTGTAAAAAGAAAAAACAGAGGCGCATGAGAGTGCCCTTTCATGGCCAGCTGGTATCGATCATGCCACTTCATAAAACAAGGTGTGAGACATATATCTGTATTCTGTTCTATCGTTACTTTGAAAATTATTTCAGCACGTGGGAGATTACTTGTGGCAAATATTGTCCTGCATGTAATGGAATTACGTCTTACCGATATATTATTTCCATGTTTAAAGTTAGGAAATGTTGTAAAACATCTCTCTGTTTACAAAAAAAACAACCAGTAAATCTCGCAGTTGAATTATCATTTACTATTAAACTAGGACAAAAAAGGTCAAATAAGCTCCGAGGTTTCTCCACAACTCAACAAAGCCTTCGTGAGCTCGGAGTGTTCTCCGATGTAAGGACGACAAAGTCTCGTAAGCTCCGAGGTTTCTCTGGCGTGGGAGATACAGACATTCTACATAGGAAGTGAGAAGGGTAGTGATTCCCCGAATACCGCTCGATAAATCTTCGAATCCCCTAACTAATAACGAGGAAGTGTGAAGTGACGCTCAGCCGAAGAAATCAGCACAGCCTAAAGGAATCCAAAACACTCAGGCCACATTTCGAAAAGTAGCAAAGATTTCCGATTTTATTTAGACGCCCCCTGCACTACTCAATAACTCGAATGTTCAGTAAATCCTCGGTTAGCCGAGTATATGCCGATGTGCCTGTTAACTGAATCCTTAAAAATGAAGGTCTAATCCACAATCATGAGTAATTTGCTTATTGCGGGTTTGCATACCGATTGATTGATTCGCGGAAAAACTGAACGCATCTCAGATTAGTAGGAACCGAGAGTCACTGGACTTTTATGAGTTTCACGTTGTTTCCAGGTAAATGTTTGAGTGTATATTTACGTTTTACTGATTGGCCCATTGCTACTGTGTTCACCCACAATTGAACACAGGCAAATTTAATAGCAAGAGACTATATGAAGGGGTAAGGAAATCTGCCATTGCGATCAGTCCAGTGAAAAGACATAAAAGAATAATAAAAGAGTTAACAGGCCAACAGGCTACCAAGCTCTTCCCTAAACTCTACCTCTGTATTTTTCTTTAAAATACTTTCCCGTATTATTTCCTTACGGGTAGGCAGTCGGTAAGATGCTGATGGCGATGCTTTTTTGACACGAAGCCTTTCTAAGCTGGATTCCAATAAGATCGCGCACTAAAAACAAATATAAGAACTAGCAACAAAGCTACATGAACATCATAGGAAAGTTAATAATAGGAATCCTGAGAGTTGCGGGCCTCATTGCTGCACCATTCACAATTGGGGCCGGAATCGTAGTGTCCATTGAAGGGGCAGGAATTGGTGGCGCGGGGGGAATGGTCATGTCTGGTTCCAAAGTCGTTGAGATAATCTTCGAAAAGTTAGGACTCAAAGAAGTGCAAGCGGCAATTGAGGACGATCGTGAAGCTTGTAGTGAGCTCCAGAAACAGTTAGACTCCTTGGAAAACTTTATCTCTAGCTTAGCAGAGTTCCTTAAACCGCTGCATGATGACGCGGTTTTCCTCAGAGAATTAGAAGGAAGTGGATTTGAATTTCTTAGTCAGCGGATGTCCTATGAAGAGATCGGCTCGTCCACCGAAGAGAGAGTAGAATTCGGTGCCAGGTTCTTCAGAGCAGCCACTTCCGCAGCCACAATATCTGCATCAGCGGCCGCGACTGCAGGCGCTGTAGCCAGAAGTGCGGCTATTGCGGGGACGCGCGCGGCACACGTTGCTGGTTCTGTAATCAGCACCGCTGTGTTGCCGCTGGATATCACGTTACTCGTCAAATCATCTTTGGAGCTGCATCGTGGATCCACATCTGCAGCTGTACAAGATATCTGGCGGATTCTTGACGAACTTGAATGCCCAAATAAAGGGGAGATCGAAGGTTTGGTGGAGAGCTTCATTGATGAGAAATTTACCGAGGCGTACAATAAGATGGACGATGATAAGCAACAGGAGCAGAATCGAGACAGTGATGATAGTAACGAGCAGGATAGACAAAATGATGACGTAGATAAACGACAAGGAAAAGAAAAAGAAATATTACTCCCAAATGATAGTTAACACAAAAACAAAAAGGTTTTGAAAATGATAGAGACATTGCTGCAGACGACGCTGTTACAAGAAATAATGAATGCATGTCAAATTTTCCCCTTCTAGGATGTAACGTTTTGACTCACGCAAAGGAAAAAGTCATACATGTTGTAGTAATTGTAGTAACTGTATCGTTTTAATGCAAAAAGTCAATATTAAAATGTGTATCATAAACGACTGGTTAGGTTTGGTGAACCTACGATCCCATGGGTCGATAAACACTTATACAAATATCCAGAGAGGGCCTAGCTTCCGCCTACACTCTCTTTCCTTGTTATCCCAGAGCGGATTAAGGAGACTACTCTTTAACCCCTTAAACCCCAACATCACAATTCAAATTCTCATTTGTTATCCCAATACGTTTTCAATAGAAGTAGTGGGGAGAATTTGTTGAAGTATCAATTGGATTCCTCTTGTGTGATCATGTCCTTAATTCTCATGACCACTCTGTTTTGTAAAGTAGTAAAATTACAAGAAGAAATTTGACGTTGATCACACTTAGGGCTTGACGAGCTTCTATTGTGTTTATGTCTTCCCCCAAAACTGGAGGACCGTTGCGTGACGACAAAGAGAACTGATGAATACTGAGACTGGGTCACGAAACCGCGGAAAGAACGGATTATTTTGTCTTAAACATGTTCAGGAATTAAAGGACCCAGCGGCACATCCGCATCCAAACTTCCCTCAAGTGCGCTCCCACCCCCGCCCCAGGATAAAAACATGCGTTTTTTTTTTTTTTTTAAGTACCCTGGTGCTAGTTTCGCTTCACCGGGAATCTTGGATTTCGCCTTAACTGTTACTTCTTATGTTAGCAGGTGTGTTAGCTGGCACCTATTAAGTCAATAACAAAAGCGGTGCCCGCAGTTAACAGTTTTTGAAAGGTGAGTTGGTGAAATCTTGCCTTCTGACTCCGGTAAGGGCGCTGATTTCAAACTATTCAGGGCAGGATATCTTGTTACTTGATCAGCAAAAAAGGTTTTTAAACTCAACTAATGGGGAGGCCCTTCCTTTATTCAGTTATTGCCCAAAATCGAAGCTCTGCACTTTATTTTGGGTATGAAACAACCGCTCCACCTTGAAACTACCTCAAGTAGGTCTGGATCCGTTACGGTTTATATACAAAGCTTTACATCTGAGCCGAAGATAAAGTATCTGTGCGGTAAAAGGGGGTGTGTACACCCCTCCCCCTCTCCCCGTGCAATCCCCTTGCTAGACCCATCTCTACTTTTTCTGTCGCAAAAGCAGTTTGCCCTGCATTTTGCTGTATACACAGATTGATTTACTAAAGAGGGAGGCCAGGCGGACATCTATAATATTGGTCTAACAGAACTTTAATCATATCAAAAGCTAAACTTATATACAAGGATGAATACTTACAGGAAAGCTAAACATGATGTATCAGTCACTTTTAGAAAAAGCCATAACTACAAAATAGAATTCCAAGGTGACGCTTACTGTAAATCAGTGAAACCATGATTATCACATTATACTAATAACATTCCTAAAGGAAAATGTCTTCATATGTAGCTGTATGTTTAGTTATCTAAGTTGAATATATATAAATGTTCATCAATTTGTTCCAGTCTTCATTATAGGGTCACTAATACACTTTTTTTTTTTAAATCACACCCTGTTGCTATGTAACTATATTAGTGACCAAACAAATTTTCTCTTCTCAAAAAAACCCACACTATCATTAAGAAAAAAAAAAAACAAAACAATATATAAACGGAAACCTAAGAGCTTCGAGATTGCTCAGAAGTTACCTGATTGACGAACTCAGAAAACTTCTTTTCAAAAAATTGAAAATACAATGTCAAAGAATGCAGCTCAAATTATTGCTATTCAGAAAAATATATTTACACATGCTTAGATAAATACTTTATAGTTTATTTTCATTGCTTTTGAGAGATTTTTTCCTGGCTGGGTTATTTTGTTAGCTCTAAGGTCTAAGCTTTGTTTCTTTTGCAGTTAGTATGTGTGAGTGCAGTGCTGCCAGTGAAGCGTTTTATACATCCATCAGTTATCTTATTGAGCTTTAAGTTTAGAAAAAGCAATATTGATCGAGCTTTAAGTTGTTTAGTTTGTAGTTAGTGTGGTGTTAATCAGTTATCCGATTAAAAGCGAGGTTTAATCTTTTTAGTTCGCAAAAACCCTGATTGTGTTGGTTGCCAGGTAACAACTTCGCAATCTCAATACATCCTAGCGACTGAAGGTTGTTGAAGCTTAAATCAAAATCCAAAATTCCTTCAACAGAGAAACATTTACATCGCATTCAAGGATTTAACGGAAACGTACTTTACAGTTGATGTTCATTGATTCTAGGAGATTTATACCTTTAACAGTTATGTTGTTATACTGGAGGTCTAATCTGTTTAGTTTGCAGTTAGTGTGTGTGAGTGCTGTACGTAAATGTTTAACTGCTTTATCAGTTATGTTGTTACGACTGAGGTTTAAGGTGTTTAGTTTGCTGTTAGCGTGTGTGAGTGCTGTAGATAAATGTTCAACTCCTTCATCAGTTATGTTGTTACCCCCGAGGTCTATGGTGTTTAGGTTGCAGTTAGTGTGTGTGAGTGCTGTAGATAAATGATTAACTGCTTCATCAGTTATGTTGTTATTCCCGAGGTTTAAGCTGCTTAGTTTGCAGTTAGTGTGTGTGAGTGCTGTAACTAAATGTTTAACTGCTTCATCAGTTATGTTGTTACCCTGGAGGCCTAAGATGTTTAGTGTGCAGTTAGTGTGTGTGAGTGCTTTAGCTAAATGTTTTACTCCTTCATCAGTTATGTTGTTAACCGCGAGGTTTAATGTTTTTAGTTCGCAAAAACCCTGATTGTGTTGGTTGTCAGGTAACAACTTCGCAATCTCAATACATCCTAGCGACTGGAGGTTGTTGAGGCTTAAATCAAAATACAAAATTCCTTCAACAGATTTAAGTGCATGCACTAATGCTAAACAGTCAGGAGGTGACAGCTTACAGTGAACAAAATCAAGCGCATTACAACCAATTTTCTTCAGTTTCTTTTGAACTTCTCGATCAGAGGCTTTGTTCTCATACATGCAATTGAATAGCGTCACCACTAATAACCTGTTGTGTTCAGGAACTGGCCAAAAGGTCAGTGTTCGTTCCTCTGAATCTTCATTCATCTCGATTTTAAGTCCTTGGGTAAAAGTTTCTGAGGGCAGAAGGTCGCTGAAAATATCTGTTGATTGTCCTTCTTTTTCAGCCAGCAGTCCAGCCACAAACTGCATCACAAACTTCCACGCGCCATCCTGGATGTGATCGGAAACAAACTTCTGCAGGTCCTCGGAACTGTACGTGTCCACCAAATGCTTCGCCGCAAAGAACTCCTGTATCGTCAGGTGTAAAAAACAATATTGTGCTCGTCCTTCCGTTAAACCGCTATAACTATCAGGTAAACGGTGGAACAAACCATTGTTTTCTTGCTCATCGACTTCGCCTGATTCGAACATGAATCTTCCTTCTTTGATTCCTTGAAAAGCAATTTCTCCCAGTCTCTTAAACAATTTTTGCACATGTTCAGGTAATGCATTAAATGGCTTCAAATAAAACTGTTGAGCTTCATGTAATGGGTAACGGTTTTGGATATCATCGTGACAAAAGTAAAAAATCTTGATGGCAATGGAGTATAGTTCGGTTAGTCTTGTAGGAAGGCAGCCGGAGACGGGTGAGTCCAGCAAGTGTAACAAGCACGAACAAATGATGAAACAGTTCACAGGAACGTAGCAGAAGGATTGGAGGTTAAGGTTACTTCTGATGTGTTGCTTTATGGCTTCTCCTTTGCCGTCATCACCTTTCTCTTTTGTGAATTTGTCCACATACTCTTCCACTTTATCAGCGTTGAATCCTAGAATTTCAACTATTCTTTCAAAGGCAATAGGTGCTTCAAAGAATGACACGGCGCTTGCTCTTGTGGTCGTTAAGACTGTAGCACCGGGAAGGATTTTTCCTGATAATATCTTCTTGTACAGGAAATGAAGAGGCATCGAGTCTTCTACATTGTTATTGATCGAAATGTCATCAACATTGATTTTAGCCTTTCCAGAATATTCGTCAAATCCATCAAATATAACGAGTACTTTGTCTGGGTTGTCAATAATGTAGTGCCAAACTTCATCGGATAGAGGTAGTTTAGAATACTCCGATTCGTCCAGGAGTTTGCGAAGACTGAGTTCTTCGTTTTTGTGGTTAAACTTCCTAAACTTAATGAGGAAAGCGAGTTTCAAATCCATTTCAGATTTCTGTGCATCACTGAGCAAGTTATCGGATGCCCAATTGCGCAGAATCTTTTTGCAAATCATAGTTTTTCCAATTCCAGCACGACCGACAACAAGAATATTCCGTTTGTCAGCATCAAAAATATCTCCCGGCCGTGTTGATCGTGACTCTTCTCTGGGTCTGTGGTATTCTTTCAGTTGTTTCTCTCTATCTGCACTAAATTCATACAAAGCTCTGTTTTCATGAATAATCAAATCGGTGTAGATGTGGTCAAGCTTTAGATCTCTTTTTAAGCCTTCACCCGGATTGTAATGGAAAGGTGCAGCAGGATCTGCGTAGGCTTTTCCGGTGACACTACGGACATGTTCCTTCATACGTTCGATGAAAGTGGCTACTGATGGACTGTTAAACTCTCGTTGTTGCTGTTCTGACAGGGATTCGTTGTCAGTTGGAGGGGCATTTAACTGCTGATTCGAACTCAGATAATATTTATGAAAGTTCGGGTCTTCCATAAAGTTTTTTACTTTTTTTGCACGTAATAACATAAAGAGAGACTCGATAAACACAAAAAACGCAAAAGTTCCGGTTACAACGATCACGGCATCAGACCAGAAGGACTTTTTAGCTGCTCTTTGATTATGACATTCGTATGACGTTTGCGTTTGTGTTCCGTTGCGAGTCCCATTAGCCGTTATGTCTGAAAAATTCCCGTCTCTCGTTAAGTTACAATTGAAGTTGGAGGGAAAGCTGAGCGGATAAAGTAATTTGGTCTGCAGAAGGACAAAAGAAACCCCGAGAGCAAATCTGACAAGAAGTTGCAAACAGTACGCTTTGAATAGCTTTTTCCGGGGAGTTCGCCCTTCCACATCATCATCGGCGTTTCTAGGGTTTTCTAGTTCCTCAACTTTCGACTTCACCGCTTGTGAGTATATTCCACAAACACTTGCAGTAACAAGGAAGTTGATAATCACGAACCCATACACAGGAATACCGAATTTGTTGTACTGTTTTTCATACTGTTCGTAACACTTAACACCAATGAGTTCCCTGTCGCCATTTGAGCCACAGCGAAAGTCAGTCGGTTCGTTGTTTTCAATTTCTAGAAAGATTGCTGATAGGATAGTTCCAGGCGCAAACCAACATACATTTGCCACATAACTGAACCAGTGGAGTGTTTTAGGAGCAAGCAAATCTTTAAGACCTTCCATGTTGTATGCCTCTCGATTTCTCGCTTATGAGCTACAAATGCTTGCATTTAGCTTTTGTATTCTATTAGAAATAATGGAACGAGGAAAGTAATTCAGATGTAGTCAACCATAACTGTTTGGTATATTTGAATCACAAAAACACTGTCTGTTGAACATTCGCGTCAGGTCAAAGTTTTCGTATCTCGAATATTCGCTGTTATTGTTGAAGATGCGTATAAACTGGTCGCAGCCTTTCTGTATATGAGCAATCATTCTACATGAAGCATGGGATTTTCTGCTGCACTCGCCCGCGTACAGGCTGTTAACAGTAGTAATGTAAGGGCCCTTTACAGCTATACCTGAGTCGCTAGCTATGCGTATCATTCTTGAAATATTTGTGGCAAATTTAAAAATCGCCGTAGGCGTGAATCCTATCGTTTCCAACGAAGAGCACTTGGGAGAGCCGAGATTAAACGTTTCTTCCCAAAATCCGACAAATTCTCCCACCAAGTCCCACCTTGTGATAACTGCGATATCAAAAACGGGGGAAGACGAGTGAAGAAAGTTGGTCAACCTTGGCTGACTCTGACAGTGCAATTTTGGTATGGATATTAACTATTGCTATTTTTGCGTGCGTTTCAGGCCAAAGAACTTCCTGTCTCTTTCTTTCTTTCTTTTTTTTTTTTCATTGTTCCCCGATGAAGATTAGGTAGGCCTGTTAAGACAATCGACAATAGCTAAAACGATGAACAGATGCGTGCCTCTGAGAAGGAATGTGGCCGAGAAGCCTCGGGGTATGAGGTTGAAGTTTGTACTTTCCCAGTTACGCACGTGTACACATGAAAGTAAAAACATGTTCGTTTTCCTCAAAAGCTTAAAGGTTTTATGGTGAGCAAGAGTCAGTCGAGTCCAACCAAGTAAAACTCGGTGGAATCAGTTTTAATCTTGTACCCAGATCCCACTCTGGTCGTGGAAGATCTGAGTACGAGATAAGGGGGAGATTAAAACGAGTGCATGCAAAAAATACTGAAAAGTATTAATTCGTTTAATATTTTCTCTTCTCAAAAACATGTTTATAAAAATACAATATCTGATGTCTTTTCTTTGTGTAATAGTAATAACTGGTCTGAAAGAATAAATTACATGTTCCTCGAGTATTTCCCTACTTATTAGACCTTGTCGCCATTTGAGCCACAACGAAAGTAAAATCTCGATTCGCTGTTTTCAATGTCTAGAAAGATTGCTGATAGGATAATTCCGGGCAAAATCCAACAGAAATTTTCCACATAACTGAACCAGTGGAGTGTTTTACGAGAGACCAAATCTATTATTTCTTACATGTCGACTGTCTCTCGATTTCATGCTTAACGAACAAAAAATGCCTGCATTTAGCTTTTGAATTCTATTAGAAATAATAGAACGAGGAAAATGATTCAGATGTAGTCAACCATGGCCATTTGGTATATTTGAATCACAAAAAAACTGTTTGTTGAACATTCGCGTCAGTGAAAGTTTTCGTATTTCGAATATTCGGTATTCTTGTTAGAAATGCGCATTAACTGGTCAGAGCCTTTCTGTTTGTGAGCAATCATTCAACATGAGGTACAGAATTTTCTGCCGCACTCGCCCGGGAACAGGTTCTCGTGCCAGCAACACCTGTGTTGCGAACTATACGAAGCATTCTCGAAATATTTGTGGCAAATTTAAAAATCACCGGAAGCGTGAATCCTTTAGTTTCCAACGGAGAGCCGAGATTAAACGTTCCATCCTTGCTCGAAAGAGGTTAAAACGTGCATTTTTCTCCCAAAATCCGACACATTCTCCCACTGTGTAATAATTGCGAAATCAAAAACAGGGGAAAGCGAGTGAAGAAATTTGGTCAACCTTGGCTGACTCTGACAGTGCAACTTTTTTGTTATGTATATTAACCGTTGCTATTTTTGCGTGCGTGTAAGACCAAAGAACTTCCTATCTCTCTCACTCTATTTTTGTTTTGTTTTTTTTTCATTGTTCCCCGACGAAGATTAGGCCAGGACAGGCTGAGAAAAGTGAAAAAGCGAGTTTAGTTTATTTATTTACCATTTAGGTCTTTCTCTCAATATTGAGCATTTTATACCACTCTAGAAAACAAACGAACAAACAAACAAAGGAAAACAACAGTGACAGAAATGGCGCTTATAAGAGCAAAGTAATTAAACAGGATTAAAGTGTCAATAAATGTTTGAAATTGCATTTTTTAAAAGCAGCCAGTGTATTGGACAATGCTTTATCCCTTGGGAGTTTGTTCCATTCTGTAATTGTCCTTGGGTAGAAGGAGTATCAAAAACGGACGAAAGGATGTGAAAAAATTTGGTCATCCTTGGCTGATTCTGACAGTGCAATCTTTGGTATGTATATTAACTGTTGCTATTTTTGCGTGCGTGTGGGGGCAAAGAACTTCCCATCTCTTTCTTTCTTTCTTTTTTCACTGTTCCCCGATGAAGATTAGGCCAGGACAGGCTGAGAAAAATGAAAAAGTGAGTTTAGTTTATAGGTTAAGACAATCGACAATAGCTGAAAAGATGAAAAGATGCGTGCCTTAGCTCTAAGACGGAATGTGGCCGAGAAGCCTCGGGGGATGAGGTTGAAGTTTGTACTTTCCCAGTTACGCACGTGTACACATGAAAGTAAAAACATGTTTGTTTTCTTCAAAAACTTAAGGTTTTATCATGTGTTATGGTAAGCAAGAGTCAGTCGAATCCAACCCCGTAAAACTAGGTAGGGTCAGTTTTAATCTTGTATCCAACTATCCAAGCAGTCTCACTCTGGCCGTGAAAGATCTGGGTAAGAGATAAGCGGAAGATTAAAACGGGCCCTTTAAAGTACATGTAAATAATACTAAAAAAATATTAATTCGTTTAATATTTTCTCTTCTCAAATGTCTTTTCTTTGTGTAATAGTGATAACTGGTTGCAAAGAATGAATTACATTTTTCTCCGAGTGTATTTCCATACGTTTTAGACTTTGTCGCCATTTGAGCCACAACGAAAGTAAAATCTCGATTCGGTGTTTTCATGGTCGAGAAAGATTGCTGATAGGATAATTCCGAGCAAAATCTAACAGAAATTTGCCACATAACTGAACCAGTGGAGTGTTTTAAGAGAGACCAAATCTATTATTTCTTGCATGTCGACTGTCTCTCGATTTCTTGCTTAACGAACAAAAAATGCTTGCATTTAGCTTTTGTATTATATTAGAAATAATAAAACGAGGAAAATGATTAAGATGTAGTCAACCATGGCTGTTTGGTATATTTGAATCACAAAACCACTGTTTGTTGAACATTCCCGTCAGGTCAAAGTTTTCGTATCTCGAATATTCGGTATTATTGTTAGTTCTGTTTGTGAGCAATCATTCAACATGAGGTACAGAATTTTCTGCTGCACTCGTCCGGGAACAGGTTCTCGTGACAGCCACGCCTGTGTTGCGAACTATACGAACCATTCTCGAAATTTTGGGGGCAAATTTAAAAATCGCCGTGGGCGTGAATCCTTTAGTTTCCAACGGAGAGCCGAGATTAAACGTTCCATCCTTGCTCGAACCAGGTTAAAACATGCATTTTTCTCCCAAAATTCGACACATTCCCCTACCGTGTGAAAATTGCGATATCAAAAACGGGCGAAAGCAAGTGAAGAAATTTGGTCAACCTTGGCTGACTCTGACAGTGCAATTTTCGTATGTTTTTTAACTGTTGCTATTTTTGCATGCGTGTCAGGCCAACGAACTTCCTATCTCTTTGTCTCTTTCTTTTTTCATTGTTCCCCGATGAAGATTAGGCCAGGACAGGCTGAGAAAAATGAAAAAAGCGAGTTCAGATTATAGGTTAAGACAATCGACAAAAGATGAAAAGATGCGTGCCTTAGCTCTGAGACGGAACGTGGCCGAGAAGCCTCGGGAGATGAGGTTGAAGTTTGTACTTTCCCAGTTACGCACGTGTACACATGAAAGTAAGAACATGTTCGTTTTCTTCAAGAGCTGAGCAAGAGTCAGTCGAGTCCAACCCCGTAAAACTCGGTGGAGTCAGTTTTAATCTTGAACCCAGATCTCACTCTAGCCGTGGGAGCTCTGGGTACGAGATAAAGGGAAGACAGAAACGGGCCCTTTAAAGTGCATGTAAAAAAATACTGAAAAATATTAATTCGTTTAATATTTTCTCTTCTCAAAAACATGTTTATAAAAATACAATATCTGATATCTTTTCTTTGTTTAATAGTGATAACTGGTTGGAAAGAAGTAATTACATGTTCCTTGTATATTTCCCTACTTTTTGGACTTTGTGGCCATTTGAGCCACAACGAAAGTCAAATCTCGGTTCGCTGTTTTCAATGTCTAGAAAGATTGCTGATAGGATAATTCCGAGCAAAATCCAACAGAAATTTGCCACATAACTGAACCAGTGGAGTGTTTTAAGAGAGACTAAATCTATTATTTCTTGCATGTCGACTGTCTCTCGATTCCTTGCTTAACGAACAACAAATGCCTGCATTTANTGGAGTCAGTTTTAATCTTGAACCCAGATCTCACTCTAGCCGTGGGAGCTCTGGGTACGAGATAAAGGGAAGACAGAAACGGGCCCTTTAAAGTGCATGTAAAAAAATACTGAAAAATATTAATTCGTTTAATATTTTCTCTTCTCAAAAACATGTTTATAAAAATACAATATCTGATATCTTTTCTTTGTTTAATAGTGATAACTGGTTGGAAAGAAGTAATTACATGTTCCTTGTATATTTCCCTACTTTTTGGACTTTGTGGCCATTTGAGCCACAACGAAAGTCAAATCTCGGTTCGCTGTTTTCAATGTCTAGAAAGATTGCTGATAGGATAATTCCGAGCAAAATCCAACAGAAATTTGCCACATAACTGAACCAGTGGAGTGTTTTAAGAGAGACTAAATCTATTATTTCTTGCATGTCGACTGTCTCTCGATTCCTTGCTTAACGAACAACAAATGCCTGCATTTAACTTTTGTATTCTCGAGC